TTGAGCAGCAGGCGGGGAGGAGAGCGGAGCCGCTGTCCTCCTGTCAGTTCCAGGATGACAGCGGCTGTGTGCGTGGCCGAGCGAAGGATCGGTAAGTATCATTGATATTTACCGATCCTCCGTGTGCAGCACAAGCACTGGAGCGATCGTCTGATCACTCCAGTGTTTGTAAATAACTGTACAGTTAGTACTATGCGTCCCCAGTTATGAATGAACAGGAGGTGATTTACATCACTTCCTGTTCATTCATGAGTTTCTCAATGGGGAGAAGCACTCTGTACAGAGGTTCCTCCCCATTCAGAAACTGGTGATAGAAAATATTTTACTATCAGCAGTTTGTGAATGAATGGGAAGCCTCTGTACTGAGTGCTTCCCATTCACTGAGTGCTGAGGCTGCCGAAAAAGACATTGAGGACTTTGTGTCCTCAATGTCTTTTTCTATATCAAAAGGGAAATGTCAGGGATCTGTTTAGACCCCTAATATTTCCCCGAAGCCCCACCCAACAGTAAAATAATAATTAAAAAATAAATTAAAAATGTGTAAATAAAAAAAAAGCACAACCCCCCCTCTCCCCACACACATAGCATACACCATATTGTGGTGTACGCCAGGCACATGCGCTGCACTGCGTTGTTAGAATGCATCGCGGTGCATGATTTTTTTATTTTGTAAAAAACATTAATTTAACTGTGGCAGCGCATGGCAAAGCTTTGTGACGCATTGCCGTGCGTTGATACCTTGTGTTGCAATTATACGCTTGTATCATTTTATCACAACACAAAGAGCAACACAGCGCAAAAACCATTTATAACATAAATCGCTTATTTACAGTTTAGCGTCCCTTCATTTTTTATAATCCCCCTTTCCTCAGCCTCTCATTGGTGTGGCAGTATTAAAGTCAAGTGTTAGGCCTCATTCAGGCGCCATTCACACCAAAGTGGAAGCGTTTCATTGTGGTTTCCGCACGATTTGTGAAAGAGCATTTTTGGCTGTTTTTAGTCGCGTTTCAGCGCTGAAACGCAATTAAAAACGCTAAAAAACGTGCTGATCATTTGGGTTTTTAGAGACTATGACGGATATTCAGAACCGGGCTTTTGGAACCCAGAAGTATGAGCACTGGATCATTGGCATACAGCAGAAATGCCGCGTGCTGCAGCTGGAAGATAAAATGGAGGAGAGTCGCGTGTGTAGCGTTCTGTTTACTTATACTGAACATTTACGGGTATGCAGCTTTATATATATTTACTTTTTAGCTTTCTTTTTTGCCATGCTTCTGGAAAGTTCATTTCTTGTATAAGCAGCCCATACAATACAGCACTCCAACTTCGACCCGAAGCCATGCGAAGCAAGCCGATGTACGGCTGAAATCAGCCGTACCAGCCTGAAGTGAATAGCCAAACAGTGTTCGGCTAACTTCACTTCAGGTCGGTCATTCACTCGGCTGCCTACGGCAGCTTAGTGAATAGACCCTAGTGTGTGGCCCCGTTGGCACTGCTCCATTGGACAAAATTAACAGGGTTATTCACAAAAGTATGAAGAGTTTGGAGAAGGCAGGAGAAGTGAACAATCTAGGACAATATAGCTGATATGGAAAATGTCTCCAATTCAGCTCCCTTTCCAAATCACCTATGTTGTCCTAGATTGTTCACTTTTCCAAACTCTTCACCCTTCTACTAAATAGCCCTGTAAATTTTTTAATTTTTTGTCAAAGAAGCCAGTCGAAACATTCTCAGCTGTAGTCACTGTTCAGGTATGCTGACAGCGGCACACCCTTTAGCTTGGATGTGGAAAGCAAGTGTATTTTCTCATCCACCCTGTATGGCCAGCTTTAGCCTTTAAGAGACTTTAAAATCTGAAACATACTTCTAGAACAGGAGAGATGCTTGTCAATCATCTATCCCAAACTTCATGTAATTGTACCATGGACAATTACATGCAGACAGCAACGGACAGATCTGGCCATTATCACCCTGTCATTAACTTGAATGGGCTCAGCGCCCACATCTGCACGGACCCACCTAGGATTCCTGCTGCAAGAATTCACAGGTTCTTGCTGCAGGAATCAGCAGACACCTGTATGCATGAGTCGTTAAAATGTATCTAAACCCAAAAACTAAAATGTAATATATTGCAGCTTACCATTCCTTTGATGTGGTGGTTGCATTAGTTTTCTTTTTTTTTTTTCAGTCTGGTGAGCCTGCTTTTGAGGATTTTTTCATCCAGTGATCCTGCAAATAACAAATTTCTTGTCCCTGAGTAACAATGTGTACTACTCCGCTATAACAATGTATTCTTGGCTGTCACACAGAATGGACTTCAAACATTTCTGCCTTTGTTAATTTCCATTACATGGTGAATTGTTTAGACTATTAATTTACACAGGAAAGACAAGGCTATTTTTGCTTCCAGGTCAGCTCATAGGAACTGACTAGGACATGGCATTTCTGGTAAGATCAACAGGTATTTTCTGTACTTGCTGAAAATGTGCCACCACATCTAAGAGCTGCTAAGCTGCCATATATTACATTTTTGTTTTTAGGTTTACATACACTTTAAAGCCCAACTATACTCTGTATAGCTAAAACGTTTTTATAGCTTTGGATAGAGTAGGGAAGTGTCAAGACTTTATTGCTGCCTTTGACCCTTTTGAGAGTATTTCACCTCATTTCCTACCCTGGTGACATGGGGCTAGATGGGCAGAAAGTGATGGGAGGGGAAATCTCTACAGTGGGAATAACAGCAACAAAAATGAATTTTTGGGGACAAGGGAAAGGGCTAGAACCTCTATGTATTCTATGTGTATTCCTGTTCTGGTGACTCCAGCACCTTCTTATTTTGGTGTCAAATGGATTTTCTATCCCCTTCTACTCTATTCAAATCTGGGATTTAAGGAGATGAGTAATGGATTGCAGATCGGGATAGTATTGGCCATATTCATAGGACGGAAGTCATTTGGGATTTAAGGAGAGGAGTCATGGATTGCAGATCGGTATAGTATTGGCCATATTCATAGGACGGAAGTCATTTGGGATTTAAGAAGATGAGTCATGGATTGCAGATCGGTATAGTATTGGTCATATTCATAGGACGGAAGTCATTTGGGATTTAAGGAGATGAATAATGGATTGCAGATCGGCATAGTATTGGTCATATTCATAGGACGGAAGTCATTTGGGATTTAAGAAAGTGATTATTGAATTGCAGATCGCCATAGTATTGGCCATATACGTAACCATAAACAAACTATTGATTCTTTTTCTGTAAAGAAGTAAGGACAACCAAAAACTTTACTACTTATTGCCTGAAAGAGATGTCCAACAACATAAAGTGGTGCAATCCTCCTGCATGTACATTATTAGAGCTGCAGCTAACGATTATTTTCAAAATCGATTAGTTAGCCGATTATTAAGTTCGATTAATCGGTTAATCAGATAAAAAATAAAATACATTTTTAAAAATGGCTCCAGTGATGGGACTACTAGTTTGTACTGAGATTGTAGTCCATCACCGAAGCAAGCTAGGAGCGGTGGAAGTAAAAAAGAAAAAAAAAAGTGTGGTGTGCAATATAGTGAAATGAAAAGTGTAAAATTATACAACAATGATGAAGAATGGCATCGGCTAGAGGACTACAAAACCCAGCAATAGTACATTATACAGCACAATGCAGAATACCACCAGCTATAGAGGAATACAACAAATCCCAGCAATAGTACATTATAGCTGGCGGTATTCTGCATTGCGCTGTATAATGTACTATTGCTGGGTGGTGTAGTCCTCGATAGCTAGTGGTATTCGGCATTGCACCACTGTATAATGTATTATTGCTGGGATTTGTTGTACTCCTCTATAGCTGGTGGTATTCCGCATTGCGTTGTACAATGTATAATTCCTTGATTTGTAGTCCTCTATACAGCACAATGCAGAATACCACAAGCTATATAGGAATACAACAAATCCCAGCAATAGTTCCTTTATACATACAGTGTATAATGTATTGCTGGGATTTGTATTCCTCTGTATAATACACAGCACAATGTACCATCAGCTATAGAGGAATACAAATCCCAGCAATACATTATAGAGCACCATGTGGGGGAAAGTGCAGGCTTACATGAGCAGTCTTCCAGCAACTTGTTTCTGAGATCGGGACTGCCTATCGGCGGCTGTCATCCGCCCAAACCTGCTCCTCCTTACTTCTACCCGCGTCCCTGTGCCAATCGTGGATGTGGGCGGTTGGTGAGCGTGAGGCGAGGGAGGAGGTGCTGCGTGTGGAGCATGGATGCGGCCGAGCAGGTTTGGCAGCGGCGAGCGTGAGGTGGGGAGGAAGTGTGGCGCGCAGCGAGTGTGGAGCCGTGAACAGTGCCAACCAATCGGAAGCCGATTAATCGATGATTTAAAAAGTTGACAACTTTTTCAATAATCAATTATAATCGATTATGTCAATTAGTTGTTGCAGCCCTATACATTATGTGCAAATTAAGGCAAAATGAATCTTATTAGTATATGTTCTTTCCAGTTTGAATGTAATATCAGCAAAATACTGCATTATGGCCACGAGCTGTTGCTGAGAAGCATAGGCATAAGTATTTCCTATGGTCTTCTGCTCCATCTGGTGGTCATAATGTGGTATTCTCCTTATATTACATTTGACTTTGTTTTTTGGCTCTGCAAATTTTTAATAATTACACCCCAAATGATAGTGAAACAAAGCAGGAGTGTTATGGGATAGTTCACAGAATTCTTTTTAGCAAAGTTCTGATGCATACATAGGAGACTTCTAGCATATTGAAAGAAACAGAATGATGAATAAACTTTGAAAACGTTTACAGTACCAGGTCATATTGTTTGTCTTTTTTGCTTGTATTGTTAACCCTTCATTTTCCTAAACCTTCTTCTCTCTGTTGCAATAGAAATTGAATAATGCACTGATGATTAACGAGGATGCCCGTACCAAAGATGCCCTGGATTATTTGCAGAACTTTTTTACCAGTATCAAGAATGGAACCTTTACAGATATTGAAAACAAGCTAGTTAATATGTTTGAAGGTAAAGATAAGACATAACCACTTTATTTTTTGTGCTTCAGTGACCTACTAAGGCAACAGAGTGCTGTAGGGCACCAGGTTCTGGCTGCCCAACCATCTCTTCTGCATCCCTTTACCAGTACTGCAGAGTGTAAAAATAGTCCCGCCACATTAGGAATATCGCTAATAGCATATGGTGGGGACTGATCAGGATTCCGCCAGCCACAAAAGGTGAACAGTGTTCTCCCTGCCTGTACACAACAGTGTGGAGTATAAAATCAGCCAAACTATGAGAGAAAAAAAACCCAATAGCAGGCAAGATGGGTGGCTGAGCACTGCTCTCTTCAGGCAGTACAGGTCATTCAGTGACAGGACATGAACTGTGTTTTTCCTCTGTTGCCAGACAACCAAGGAAGGGCAAGAGCATACATTGCACTTCCCATCATTAGAGAGCATTAGTGATCTCTGCCCACAAAGGGAAGGGCAGGTCTGCTCAAAAGTGCTGGACAACCTGCTGTCCTATGACATGTTATTTTTGTAAAAACTACTACTAGATTGTGCTATTGGAGGAGGCTTGCAGTCTGCTTTATATGTAGGGCTACATTTTCGTTGTACAATGTAACAAACAGGAGAACAGAAATATATTGTTTAGTAGGGGAGAGTTACAAGGAGAACACACCTATCAAGTTATATTTTGCTGTCAGTGTCCAGCTAGGGAGATTTGTCTTCATTTCCTATCCTGGAGATGTAACAGGGAATGAGACAGAATCTCATCAATCTTAATTCCCATCTTAGAGAGTATTCCTGGGAACAGGTGTCCCCATTGGATTTTCCCTAATCTGTTACACTGAGGACAACTCAAATTTATTTGGATTTCCTATTACATTCTCGTACAGTTTGGGCGACAGTGGTCACCAAGGTAAATAGAGGGGTGAATCTCCCCAGCAGGGACACAAACAGCAATAAAAAACTCGACAAAGGGTCTAACCTACGCTATCCAAAATAAAAAAAAAATGCCTTGATATACACTTTAAGTGCCCTATTTGCACACCTTTAGTTCCCACACTGCGTACATGCTGAAAAACATCAGTGCTAATTTTGAAGCAGCAATGAAAAGACAGCATAAGATGTAATTATTCAAAGATAAAGAGGCAGCTGTAATATATAATTGAATGTATTCTTAAATAAGTCTTACGTTAATAAAATGTGTAGTTTTAAATGGCGCACATCTTAATAAAATGTGTGTTACTGAGAGGAAGACCAGGTTCCTCATGTGTCAGGACTGGGAACTGCAACTTAGTTCCACGTTCTGCCCAGGTGCCAATCGCCAAAAGTCCCTAGCTTGCAACCAAATGCTCAGGCCGGGACTTGAGGGCGAGCTTTATCCCCAAGACAGCCACCACATTCTATAGGCTAGTTTCCATGTAGCTCCCTCTACACAATTGTCAGGGAATCCTTGTTCCCTTCCCCAGGCTTAGCGTATAAGTGTAACATTCTTAACTGAATGTTCTGAACTGACTTTACCCCTTGAGAAGGTCAGAGTCATCACCAGGCACACCAGCCCATGCTGCCAGAATAGACCCCCCCCACAGATGGCATGCATCTCTCTTCAGCTTCAGGTCAGGGTTTACTAGAACAACTTCATATTTACTCCAGATAATGATCAATTAACAGAAGAATGAATAGATGTTATTTTCAAATAAATAGAACTTTTATGGGTGAACCAGAGCATAATTGGTGTCCAGATGGTGTCCATCATTCTCCCACGACTCAAGGGTGCCTTCTTCCATTAAGGTACTCACATGTTGTGGTGCAGGACAATTCATGGCAAATGATAAACGCAATTTTTATACATCCTGGACCACTTCACTTTCTACTCCACTTCACTGCTGATCCACCCAGTTGCCCTTATATGGGCCGAGACAAGGGACGGTGATGGATAGGCAGGTTTTCTGGAACCCAAGGACCTAGCTTAAAAGGGCCTAACACACTATTCCACATAAAGGGGTCTTTTCTTCTCAAGCCTGAGCTCTGAGCTTGTATCGGCCATCCCCAATTTCACATTTCAACTAAACACTGCTGTAGGAGAAAACTGATGCAGAAGTTCACTAGTTCAGATATAATGGATGTGGTCAATGTAGCGAGACTGTGCAGGGGTTTCCCTTCTGTTACTTAAAGGCATCTAAGGTCGTGTTCCTAATTTAAAAATTTGCTTGTGATATTTGTTTTTGTTTTTACAGTTAAGTTGCCAAAGTTGATGGAAATCGCAATGGACAATGAAAATCCAAAGCTGGAAGAGTTACAGTTCATCCTGTCTGAATCCTATCATGAGAATCCAGAGACACGCACACTGCTTTTTGTGAAGACCAGAGCTTTAGTAACGGTAATTATTTCTGTGTAAACTACATGGTGACATTTTTATAGATTGTCTCCTAATAGAGTCATTTATAGCTTGTGAGGCAGAACAAGTCTTTACACTTTTGCACCTGCCAAATGCATGCACTCTGGTTTGTCATCTTTTATTAGGGATAAAAATGCCATACTTATTTTTTTAGGAGGAAGAAAAGACTGTTAACCCCTTCATGACTGAGGCCTTTTTTTAATTTTTTGTACCCATGTTATATTCCACATTTTAGGCCTGAAAATTACTTAAAATCCCCCAACATTATATATTTTCTGAATGCCAAGACCCTATAGAATAAAATGGTGGTAGTTGCAAATGTTTATGCAAATGTTTATGTTGCGCAATATTGCTTATTATAATGTTGCCTATTATAATCTATTTCTCTGATTAAATGATTAGACAGGGCCGCTGTTCTATCAAAGTTTATGACTAGGTTGGAATGTGTGACTGGTGACGTGGTCACACATTTCAATGTAATCCCGCCCAGTAAAAAAAGCAATATATGCCGTGTTATCTTCATTTTAGATGTCAAAAGTGTTTTGTGGCTCCTGGTGTTTTCTTTTCTGTGGGAAACGGGTCCAAATGGCTCTTTGAGTGTTTAAGGTTGCTGACCCCTGGGTTAGACAGAAGGGTAACAGAACTTTGATTGAAATGTTCCTTACTATTTAAGCACTCGTGAACTTTCTATAGTGTGTACTATGACTATGATATATTCTTATATTTGTCACAAACACTATCATTTTAGCTATTTTTTTTTTTTTTTCTAGGCTCTAAAGAATTGGATTGAGGAAACCCCATCACTCAGCTTCCTAAAACCAGAAACAATATTTGGGAGAAATAAAAGAAATGATAATATAGGTAAAGAAAATTGTTGTGCCCATGAACCTTAATCCTCCTGCTCACGCCAAACATGAAGCAACTGGATCTTCAAGAAACTTACCCAATTATGACAAATTCAGACAGATCTGTACTATGTGCCTTAAGTCTACTCTCAATCCATCCATCCATCCTGATCCTTTTTATACCAACAGGCACAGCCCTGTCTGATATCTGGAAGGAAATTGTACGCGGGTAGATTTTACAGCATACACAGAACCTTTACTTGCCATTTTATAGAATATTTTTTGCAATGGCAGAAGATCATTCTGTACATGACCAACTTAAGTGTTAAAAAAAAAAAAAAAAAAAAGCGGAAATGTAAATTAATAGTGTAAGAAAGTCACTGGTCTGTACTCAGGTTCCAGTACATGCAGATTTATTGTGAATCATAATGAACAGTCTCTTTCAATAGGGTGCTTTCTCCCTAATTAACAAAACAGCTTCTGGCAGCAGTAACACAAAATAAAAAGGCCTACTCCAACTTAGGAGTCTAATTAACAGTATTTCCCTGACTACTTTCTACTGGAGCGGCTATTCCAGCTCCCAGTGCCAAAAGAAGCATAAAGAAAACACAGTCTTCAACATACCACTGTTAGCCAGACGTTAGCCAAGAGATCTCCAGACGCTCTCCAGTCTGTGTTCATCCAGTGCAGCCTGGATCTCGCTCTGAGCTCTCTCTCCCCCTCCCAGTCCACTATCAGGTGCAGGCTAATTAATACAGAGAGGAGGTGTACCTGTTGGGGCAAGGCTTAACCCCTCCCTAGCCAGGGAAAGTTGCCCTTTTCAATCTTTCACTGACTTACACAAAGTCATATACCCTGTCACAATAGTTATAAACTTTTTATGCCTATTACATATATGAATCATTTAAATGGCATTTGGTGAGTCTTAGTTTGGCAAAAGGAATTTTATGTTGTCTTTTCTAGTTGGGACACCAAGGGGTCACACTGAAGATAATGAAATATTTTTTGATACAAAAATAGGTACATTTGTGTGCTTTTAAAGGCACTATAGCTCTCGTTTTCACAATTCGAAAATAAATACTGCCAGACAACATGAACCATTGGAAGTTTGAATACTCATACTTTTATTTTTTGCATGTTGCCAACATTGACAGTGCATTCATGTTGTTAGTGCGCACCCGCTGGTTTCTATTGCTAAAATACCTTATCTTATTCATATTTGATGAACTGTTCATCCGCATTTATTGTACAACAGAGCTCCCTGTTGCTATGTGCTGTTACTTTTGTTTTGCTACAGTCCCCCCTCCCTAATTCATGCTTTATTCCCTCAACCAATAAAAATGTGTTTGAATTTGAAGAAATGAATACTGCCAAGTACAAAGTGAAGGATAGATATTGAGCTTGTCATTTTTCATTATGGGGAGCGTAGTGTATTTATTATGTGTTATGCTTATGCCACACAGTAAAGTTAAGCTCAATCCTAGCTTTGTTTGAGTCCCCCTTTCTTATTGGACTGTTGCCAAGACAATGCTTGAAAACTAGGTTTAAGTATATAAAAAAGTCAGAACTTTCTTTTTGCTTTGGATACAGTGGTAGGGGTTAGATCCCAGTCAGGTTCTAATGTATTTATTTTTTACAAATATTTATATAGCGTCAACAATTTACGCAGTGCTTCACATACTGCACATTCACATTAGTCCCTGCCCTTGAGGAGCTTACAGTCTAAGATCCCTATCTCACACACATACAGGGCCAATTTAAACAGGCCATATTAGCCTTCCAGCATGTCTTTGGAGTGTAGGAGGAAACCCATGCAAGTATGTGCAAATTCCACGCAGATAGTGTCCTGACTGGGATTAAAACTGAGGACACCCAGTGCTGCAATGCAGAAGTGCTAACCACTAAGCCACTGTACTGTCTTTGCTGGAGAGATTTAGCCTCTATATTTGTCCTGGTGGCCACTGTCACTGGGACTGAAGATGACAAATCCAACATTTTAAATGGGGGGGATGTCTTCCAATGAGGAGACTTGTTCTGATAACAACTAAGAAGGGGTTTCCTCCCTTTCTGCTATGTCTACTGGACAGGAAGCAAAAGCAAACCTGTGCATTGGGTCACTGATGGGAGATAAACCTGACAAGGTTTTTTCAACCTTTTCCTACTCTATCCAAAATGTGAAAATAATTTTGGTTTTAGATATTCTTTAAATTAGGAGTGTGTCATATATCAATATTGATGGCAGCAGCCAGGTTTAGATTACTTTTTTTCTCTCACTTTCTTCTACAGTTCTGCTATTCTCATTAGCTAAACCAAAGGAGCCCAATGCTAGTTACAGTATCCCTACCTTGGTTTTATGCTACTATAAAAGGGTGAAACAGAACGGAGCAGACCATGTTCCAAAATATACTCAATGCTTCGTAAAATAAAAGTTTAGTACCCAAGGCAATGCAAAGAGCAGTTTAGTAATCCGTGTCAATCGATTTCAGCGGGCTGCAGTTTAGAAAAGGCAGCCCAGCTAACTGTTTAATACTATATTTTGCCTTATTAAATAAGTTTGTATATCTGTTGAGGAATGAGAGTTCCACTTTAATAATGTATCATTTATGATGTTTGTGTACCTTTTCATTTTCAGGAATGACTCTTCCGCATCAGAAAGGAGCTCTGGATGCATTTAGATACTCAGGAGAGAGCAAGTTGTTGATAGCTACATCTGTGGCTGATGAAGGCATAGATATCCCGGCATGTAATCTGGTTCTTCTCTATGAATATGTCGGCAACGTTACCAAGATGATCCAAGTCAGAGGTACAGCTCATAAATTACTAAAATGGCAAACAGCCCAACTTTTGTAAACCTCTTTAACCCCTTCATGACTGAGCTTGTTTTTGGTTTCTGTTCGTAAATGACTGACACACTTTTGACATTTTTGCTGTGTGATTCTTCCACGTCAGTAATATACTTTCTTACAAAGTGCACCCACACATATTATATATTGTTTTTTAGAGGACAGATAGGGCTACATATTTATATCACATATGTGTGTCTAACGCCTCACTTAGGACAAATACAAATTAAAAAAAGAGGAAAAAACGTAAAAAAAAACTTTTTTTCCCAGTTTTGATTTGTAGTATTTTTTTTTAACAAAACCAGCACAGCTAAAAAAAAATGCAATACATACATTCATTTATTTGTCCCTTATTTTTAATTTTTTTACACTTTTCACTATTTTTTTTAATTTATTTACACTTTTCACTTTTTTTATACTGACAAATTTTATTTATTTAATTATATCAGGCAGTCATTGTGAATTAATCTCACTATTACTGCTTGATAAATTAATACATTTTTTTTATTATCAGGCTGCTTCAAACTTCAGAACAGCCGATAATAAGTTAGTGACACTGATCCTGCAGCAGTTCAGGATTCAGCTGTCAGTGAATGTTTCAGAAAACTTAAACATTCTACTTTCAAGAATAGATACATTATGTGTCTAATACATAACATTTTGTATCTATTCTTGAAAGTCAAAAGATAAAAAAAAAAAAAGCCAGTATAGCTTGAGAGAGATATCTCTCGATCTATACGAGCTGTCAGAATGCCGGCAAAAGCCGACATGTGTGTCTGCTTTGCTGTGACTCTCAGACACCCGATATTAAGGTATCGGGTGTCTGAAAAAGGTTAACCCTTTCAGTAATGGATCTCTAGATAGTTAGACATCTATTACTGAAAGGTAACCGCTGATTCTCAGCGGTTAGCAGGATTCTAGTGCAGCAAATAACTCGTCACGTACAGTGTACGTGACGAGTCATTTGGTCCCTTTGTGGCTGGACGTACAGTGTACGTCTCCCGTCACGAAGGGGTTAAAGAGTTCAGAATAAAAAAAAAATAGAAATAATAATTCCAGTGCAGCTGGTCAGTCAGGTTTTGCTTCTATGAACCCCCAGTGATTCACGGAACCCAGGGGTGATCCACCCTTCTTCTTTCCACCACCATTGTTAACTCTAAATCATTCGTCCTTGTTATCATTTAATTATTGATATGGTGCTTATTCTGTGACCTAAATATAGTGTATTCATATATTACATCACACAGGTCGAGGAAGAGCAAAGAACAGCAGATGCTACCTTGTTACTAGCAAGCATGAACAAGCCGAGAGAGAGAGAATTAACTTGTTACACGAGGATTTAATGAATGAAGCAGTTGCTGGACTCCAGAAGAAGGATAGAGCTGAATTTATAAAACGGGTAACACTTGCAGTGATATTGATATTGTGGTAAACCTGAAAAGTATAATATTTTAAGTCTAATTGGCATATACACCGATCAGCCACAACATTCTGACCACCAGCATAATATTAAGTAGGTCCCCCTTTTGCTGCCACAACAGCTCTGCCCCTTTGAGGCATGAACTCCACTAGACCTCTAAAGGTATGTTGTGGTATTGGGCACCAAGCCATCAGTAGCAGATCCTGTAAGTTGCAAGGTGGGGCCTCCATGGATTGGACTTGTTTTTCCAGCTCATCCCGCAATTGTTCGATTGGATTGAGATCTGGAGAATTTGCATGCCAAGTCAACACCTCAAACTCGTTGTGGTGTTCCTCCAAATTCCTATTCTTGAGCCATTTTTGCAGTGTGGCAGGGTGCATTATCCTGCTGAAAGAGGCCACTGCCAGGGAATACCTTTTCCATGAAGGGGTGTACTTGGTCAGCAACAATGTTTAGGCAGGTGGTACGTGTCACAGAAACATCCACATGAATGGCAGAACCCAAGTACATCAGTGAGTCTTCACTCCTCATGACCTTGCCACTGGTTCTCCTTCCTTGGACCACTTTTGGTAGCTCCTGACCACTGCAACCGGAAACATCTCACAAGAGCTGCAGTTTTGGAGTTGCTCTCACCCAGTTATCTAGCCATTACAATTCGACCCTTGTCAGAGTTGCTCAAATCATTACACATGCCCATTTTTTATTAATTTGCTGCTTAAGGCCTTGTTCACACCAAATGCAGACCAGATCTGGTCAGGTTTCTGCACACGCAGTGCAGTGGGTTGTGCCGCGTTTTGGATGCGTTTAGGGTCGTTTTTTTTTTTTTTAAGTTTAACATGGGCTTTCAGGCACTTGCATGCGTTTTTGCGTTTTAGATGCGTTTTTTATGCGTTCCAGACCAGATCCAGAGCAGGTAAAATAGGGCTTGCCGCAGTTTTTTCATCCGGTCTGGATCTGGTCTGGATCCGCACGCTGCGATGTGAACTGGAGGTCAAAATACCATAGGAATACATTGGACGCAGTTTTGATCCGGTCTGCACCTGCTCCGGTCCGGATCTGCTCCGCGCTTGGTGTGAACAAGGCCTAATATATCCCACCCTCTTCCAGGTGCCATTGTAGTGAGATAATCAATGTTATTCACTTCACCTCTCAGTGGTCGTAATGTTATGGCTTAAGCTGGCCATACACCTTACAATTATCGTACAACACTTTTCGTCTGATGATCGAACCGTTGTACGATTTTCGTATGGCGGCCCCATCCTGCCCCGATTATCGCAAGGTTCAATTAGCCGTAATTAAAGAAAAGCACCTGAACGAATTGCGGCAATCGACCGCACGTATTTTCATTTGTGCATGAGCAGTGTAGATCGTACGATGTTTGACGTACGGAAACGCCACTAACCTTGCGAAAATCGTACGGTCGACCAAAGTCTTCAAACCTGCTTGAAAGTCAAAAGTCGTAGGATTGTACAGTATTTGCGGTTGTACATTGCCCATCAACCTTGCGATTATCGGACGAAAACAAAATCGCGTACGATAATTGTAAGGTGTATGGGCACCTTTAATGGTGTATATGCATGATGGTAAGAGTAATATATAGAATTAAATGTTGTTGTTTTTTTGTATATGCAGACTCAAAGCTGGTGGCAAAGCTAACTTGTAATCCACAACCTAAAAAAAAAGCATCAAAGGAGACACTTCTCTCTGATAATATGGTTATCGGTTTTGTTTCACTTTAGCAAATAGAGTGATTCACGCCTAGTTTTTCAGGGGCGTGGGTACAAGGGTTGACATTTTCCTGAGTTACTGCACAAAAGAATATTGATCATTAGCTGACAGCCATGGGTTTGGGGAGGGTGGCAAATGAGGGATGGATGGGATGTTTTGGATTTAGCTTCCACTGCTGGTCACTGATCATGAAAGTATGAAGCCAGTGGAAATCATATAACAATCAAGCTGGAGTTGTAAGGTTGTAATTGGCATCAATATGCTGGAGTGCATAGTCAAGATGAAGACATGCCTATGAAAATGTATTTAAGCATTGACATGTTGTTGTTGGTAGTTTTTTGTGAAGGGGCTGAGAGGATATGGTGCTGTTGCTCTTGGTGCAGGAAATGTAAGTATTCTGCAGAGGGGATTTGTTTAGGAGTTAAAGAGCACCAAAAAGGTAGGCAGCCATTTTTTAAATATTTGTCTTGTTATGCTACGTGAATGGGATCAAGTAACAAATATAAAGCAGGTGTTATTCCAATTAGGCTGTAATAGTGGAAATACACTTTAGAAGCCCTCCTTAAGTGAGTGATTACTATAGTAAAGAGCCATATCCCCCCTTGTGCTTACCCTGTCATTTATTGTAAGATAAGAAACAGAATAAATCAAGATTCTTTTTTTTTTCATCGCAGAACCTTCAGATCCAAAGAGAAGAAAAAAAGCTTCGTGATTTTAAAAAGAATTTCAAGGGACGCGTACTATCAGAGGAGAACAAACGTCTGCTTTGTGGAAGATGTAAAACATTTGCATGCGATACAGATAACATTAGAACCATAAATGTATGTATAAAAGTCCTAAATGCTGTATTTAATTAAGCAGACAATTTAATAAAGATTGCTGTTGGGGGGAGGATGGTTTGTGGGGATCGACTCTTCCCAGCTGGAATCCTAGACTGGTTTTGCTGGGGTGGAAAAGTAATCTTACTCCCAGTCACATCCAGGAAGAAGAAGGTTTCCAAGGCAGCTCTGAGCTTAAAGTGGACCTTTACCTCCTTTTACTAAAAATCACATCAGCGTGCAGCCCTGCATGTTGATTTAAAATCATCTTACCTTCATTAGTGTACCAAACTTGTTTTTCATTTACTTACAAATAGAGTTTATCCACTTCCTGGTCCACTTAGGCACAAATTATGTGATTGCCAAAGCATTGCATCTTGGGAAGGTTACATCAGCAGAATATTGCTGGGAAATCTCATCTGTAATCTCACGAGATCTCAGGGAAAGGCATTTTCCTCCTCTGAGATGATGTGCATGGTCACGTCCTAGAAATTCAGGAAGTAATAGGAGAGATACTAAATAAAATAATTCCCTTAAGCAAAAGGAAATCCCAAAGATTGGAACTGTCTAATAAGTATTTGATCACATATAGATTATCATATTACATTTTTAATGAAGTAGAAAAAAGTATAAACCACACATTTAAAACTTTGAAATACAAAAACTCCCCTACAGCAGCCCGGTAGTGAATATAGCTAGTAGCATAGATATAATTACCCTCCGCGGGTGGTCGGATACAAAAGTATCATTGTAGTTTAAAGTGGTTACTCACTCCTTATGTTGTTTCAGTGTAGCAACATAAGGAATAGGAGATATAGCAATCTGCCCTTAGTAAACATGGCCACTGTGAGAAGACTGGGGAGGAAAAGAGAAATAGGGAATGCAAAGAATACAATGCCAGCAATTATCTAGAAGTATGTGTTTGTAGATTGTCATTACTAAACATTTCTAAAGGTGTGTTTGTTGTGATTTTAAAGATTTGGGTAAAGGTCCACTTTAAGCACGGGTGCATTCTTGACAGGAATCGTCAGTGCTTTCTTACAGCAGAGGGCATTGCCAGATGAGCAGTGGGAACAGCCTGCTTCCGATAGCGCACTCTTCAAATTGAGTGTTGGGCCACAAAATGTTGGGGAGGAATGAAAAGTTTAGGGAGTCTCCCCAGTCTCCATTGGGGACACCTGTGCATTTGAAAGGTTTTAGAAGTTTTAGGGCTTTGAAGTATCTTAGAGTTTTCACACCCTCGGCTTATATTCGGGTCAATACTTTTCCCCAGTTTTTTTGGGTAAAATTAGGTACCTCGGCTTATATTCGGGACGGCTTATACTCGAGTATATACGGTAGTATCTCGTTAAGCCTAGGAACTATGGCAGAAAACAGGTCAGAGGTGGGTGCTGTAGAGGGAGGCATAGAGGTGCACTTTTAGCCTTTGCGGTCAAAGACTGCAATCACTTGTTGCATAAATCAAGCATGACTGCAGTGAAATCCCTCCAGCAGAAATATAGGCAGGGTCTGAGGTTGACACAGAGAGGAAGATCGATTCCCATAAGTTGCCCTGGAAGAAACATCCAGCCCCACTAGGTGTCCCAAGCATGAACACAGGACAACAAGGGTGCTACTGCGACCAGGGAAGACTTACCACACTCTGGATCCGTCATGGACAGAGGAGGAGGATTGGGTCCATGATACACCAAACTTCTTCCTGCAGGTAGTAATGCTTTCTGTGTCCCAGCGACCATGGAAGAGAGCTAGACATGACATCATCTGCCTATACTTGTCCCCTAGTATGTGCTTTTGCCCTATTACTGAAGGTGGTGATGTAACCCAATGGTCAGAGATTCAAGATCTCCACCGTGTCATTGAAGAACAGGTGGAAAGTACAATGTTGCCCTCTGTGTCTTCCTCCAACTTTGGTCATTGCCCTTCTTCCAGCTTGAATAACATCAAGCATCATTCAACTACAGGCAGTCATAGACAAGCCCCCCTCCCCCCCCAGGTTAGCATCATCATGCAGCCTGGGTTCAGAGTGGAATGCTATGTAAAACAGCGCACACATGTGACAACGCAAGTAATATTCTTTGAAGCAGTGAACCCTGCCCATTGCGGATGCTGGAGAAGAAGAGACACCGCTCATTACATGATTGCATCAAAGACACCTAGATTTAAGGACTGTTTGCTTTAGTTTATAAAAATGAAGGTGAAGAGAGGGTTGCTGGAGTTTAAACAAAACGATCAATATTTTCTGAAACAGCACATTTATATGAATACATAAAAGTATATTGTGAATTTTATTAATGTATACAATTCACTATTCATTTTGCCCATTAAAGGGACACAGTAAACATGGCCACTCAAAGCCAGTTATTTCCCCACCTATGGGATAAAATTGGACTTGTTGGGACTGCAAGTTAAATGGACCAGTTGGTCCAGACAGCACACTTGGAATTCTTAGCAATAAATACTGTACATATTGTATATGTGTGTAAGGAGAATGGAGCTGTAAAGCCTGCTGACCCAGAACTACGTGTATAGACTCCCACATTTGAATGAATGCTCTCAGTTGCATTGTTGTGATGGCCAACCTCTAGACCTAGATCTGACTAAATAACCTATCTGCCTGCCCAGCTATCTATGTGCATATCCACCTATGAGATGTACCAAAGTAGCAACAATAATGTTCTTTTCCTTTTACAATAAAGCAAAAACTGACATTTGGAGTAGCTTAGGAAAGGATGCCACCTTCAGAACGGGGTCCTACATGGCTCTGAAAATGTTGGTTTTTATTTCTTCAAAGTACAAGAACAGCACCCCCCACCCATGCATATACCACCCAATTTACACATATATTTGTTTACTAATTGCTCTTTCTGCTTAACAGCGAAGTCATCACACAGTGATTGACATAAGCTTCAAGGACCGGTATTTCATGAAGCCACACTCAAAGAAGAGGGCATTTGATGGCTACGAAAAACTGTGCAAGATATTCTGCAAGAATAAAAAATGTGGAGATGACTGGGGTGTTTCCGGCAACTATCAGACCTTTCAGAACATTCCTCTTATCAAAATTGACAAGTTTGTGGTGGAAAATGCTAACGGATCGCAGGAATATTTCAACAAATGGGTGAAGGTGAACTTCAGGATGAAGGAATTCAATCCTGTAGAAATAGAAGAGTCTTTCTCTGCCAACACAGAATAACACAATCAGTACTTGATATTGAGATTTTTTTTTTAGTGACTTTGATAGTTGTTTAAGGCAGAAAAAAAATTGTATGCGATCTCTGCAAAGAGGAAAAAAATATATTATAAATATATATATACACAAAATGAGATTAAATCATAAATAAAATGTAATCATTTTAATTGGAGAGGTCATTATTTTCCAGAAACAAAATGGCTGTATAGTCTCTGCACCTCTTTATGGTGGAACTACACCCTCCTATACTTTACAGTCAAGGAAGGTACCATCTTATCCTCTATCTGGATTGCAGATGCCATGACACTGCACATGTGATAAGCTATGACACCAACCAGTGGAGCGTTTGGAAGTTTGGTTGAGAGCTGAAATAAACACATTGCCAACCTTGAATGCAACTGTTATGGGGGACCTTTAAATGGGTAGTTCTAATTCTGCTTTACATTTTTATTTTATATTGTGCTAAGAAGTTCTTGATTTCTGCATACTATACCACACTCAAAACTTGTTTCAGTCACAGCACCCTTTAACTTCTTCGCAACCATCATAAACAAAACCAAACAGCGGGAACGATCTGGACCTCCCTGCGTCCTATGGTCCGGTGCGTCTTATGGACCGCAAAATACGGTAATTGCTACCGCTGCATTTCCACTGTTGCTATCTGCCTCGCATGCGAGGCAGATTAGTAACAAGGAATAGTGATTCAGGAGTGTCACATGATCGATTTGGATAGACTGTAGTCAAGGCTGGGTGTAAACACCCTCGTTTGACAGTGGTCTCTGTCGTTTGATGTAAAGGGGGGGGTCTCTACCTCATAAAAGGGGCATGGTACCCTGGTTAAGAAAGTCTGTACTATACTATATGAATAAGGACAGAAACCTACTCTGCTTACATGACAGTGCTTGTTGTACAGTGCTTCCTTTTAACGTGCTGTGAAGGAAGACAAATGTGTGATGATCCTTTTACTGCAATGCCTTCACTGCTGGTAGTTGTATCCAGATCGAAGTTGTGTTTCTACTGATGCACTGAAAATATTTAGCTTTAAAACAGTTGGTAAAAGAAATCCAGTATATCATGAAAGTGGAAAATATCCATTTTATGGGCAGAATATTTTGGCTCTCTCATTGTTCTCGACAAGCAAACAATTTTATTGAAGGGCGACCATAGTGTTCTAAAAGACAACGCCAAGATCTACCTGCCCTTTAAAGCTGAAGAATAATCTACTTATATTTTGCCTTCCCTGGTTCCCTCTCACCCCCACTTTAATATATTAATGAAATAAACATGCTCTTTTGTTTACATACCTTATCTTAGAACCAGTAATGTCATCACTGGGTCACAATACATCTCTCTGCAATGCAGGCAGACCATGGCTGATGGGAGGGCCTGTACATAGCATCCTGGCTCATTACTTCTCTCAGGAGCCCTCAGCCCTGTTGCAAGCAGTGGGCTGGCTCTTGGTGGCATGAGCTGTGCAAATGTCAAAATACCTTGATGGGTGGATGTCCTTCTGGAGGAGTGGGTGTCCCCAGGCAGGCTGTATTTGCATGCAGGCTGCCTAGGTAACACCCTTATGTGATGCTAAGCCTCCATAATTGAAAGAACTAAAATCAAATACAGTACATGAAAGGGAGGGGGGCAGAGACAGTAAGGCCTCATTCACACTGCTGCGCGTACGTGCGTATTGTACCATATGCAAATAAATGGCTCCATACACACAGCCACGTATTGAGCCTTATATTTGCGTAGCATATATATATGCGCAAAAACAGAATGGAACAGAGATGCGTCCGTGCAGCGTATTTCTGCGTATTTACGTGCATACACAGCACATTTAAAAATCTTATAACCAGTGATGCATTCTGGGATTGCATATAGTATATGCATATACGCTCGTATATACGCGCAGAGGCGTAAATACAATTTTGAATAACTAAATGTGCCGAGCTAAAACAATGATCAGATATAAAGAGTAAAAAAATAAAAAAGCAGTGACTCAAACAAATGTCAGTGAAAAAAAATAAAAAATAAAAAATCAATCAGGTGTAAAGTCTTTAAATCTTCATAAATCCGCGAAAGATGTCCAAATATAGCAATAGTGATGAATATTACTTGTTCCTTCACCAAATGCACCAAGTGCACCACACCAGATATAGGGGTGCTCACCTTATTGATAGACCCCAGCAAGAGGTCAAACCAGGCAATTCCCTTCTTAACCAGGGGAGGGGGCCCTCAGCTCCAATCGCTCACAGATGTCCTCCAATGGTTTAATCAGACCAGCAAACAGATCTGTGCAACACTTCTTAAATAGGAAAGCAATAGCCTCCAATCTTTATTGATCTATAGGCCTCCTCAGTATAAGGTGTCAATGCCTGGCCTCCTCGATCTATAGGCCTCCTCAGTATAAGGTGTCAATGCCTGGCATTGACACCTTATACTGAGGAGGCCTATAGATCAATAAAGATTGGAGGCTATTGCTTTCCTATTTAAGAAGTGTTGCACAGATCTGTTTGCTGGTCTGATTAAACCATTGGAGGACATCTGTGAGCGATTGGAGCTGAGGGCCCCCTCCCCTGGTTAAGAAGGGAATTGCCTGGTTTGACCTCTTGCTGGGGTCTATCAATAAGGTGAGCACCCCTATATCTGGTGTGGTGCACGTGGTGCATTTGGTGAAGGAACAAGTAATATTCATCACTATTGCTATTTATTTATGGACATCTTTCGCGGATTTATGAAGATTTAAAGACTTTACACCTGATTTTTTTTTTTCACTGACATTTGTTTGAGTCACTGCTTTTTTATTTTTTTACTCTTTATATCTGATCATTGTTTTAGCTCGGCACATTTAGTTATTCATTTTTCACGTATACACACTCACAGTGGGTGTACATTCCAGTGCCTTGTAGCTGTTAGCTTGCTTATTGGCGCAGTTCATTCTCTATATTGTATATACAATTTTGCTTGCGTTGTGTGTGAATGAGGCCTAAGGCTGGAGAGGAAAATTAGATGATGGTGGACGTCTTCCAGCCAGGAAATACAATGGGCTCGATCAACTTGCTGCAGCTTCTAATGCAGTGTGCGGTTATATGGGTTGATTTACTAAAGGCAAATAGGCTGTTCAAGGAATTTCCCCTGCCAAGTGGAAATTCCTTGAACAGCCTGTTTGCCCTTAGTTTAGTGAATGAGGGGAAGCTCTGCTGACATCCATCATCCAACCATGTACAAGAAAAACATGCAGTTTTTTTTTTGTCATAGCATGCAGTAAAATCAGAGTAAGCAATTTCTGTACAAGAGAGGAGCCGGTGCAAGACTGAAGGGAGGGATTTGAACTGTCATTTTATCACATTTCCCATTGCAAAACAGTGGACTTTATCAGTTATATCAGATTTGAGGCCTGGTTCACATCTGGGCGTTTTACAGTACGTAGAAACGCGCTGCAAAACGCCCTCCGCCCAAAGAAGTACAGGAGCTTCTTTGGGCGTATTTGCCGCAAGTATCCATTAGGATACAGCCTATCCCTTGGAAACGCGCGTTTCTTTTACCGCAAATGGCGGTAAAAACGCACGTCACAAACACGCATATTCTGTACGCCTTGTGAACCCAGCCAAAGAGTTGGTCCACCAAAACTAGACATTTTAGACATGGTTCATGTATAGTCAGTGTCATCAGCCATTAGTTCCTTGTCTCTGTAGAAAACCTCAGGCCTACCCTCCCCACCATATTTTAACTGCCCCTTATGTTGGCATCTCAGGCTATCTTTATGAGATAAATATTTTTTTTTAATATTTTGTGAAAGTGGAAACCGATACATTTTACTGCACCATGCAAACAGCATTGTTGTGCTGCAACTGACGGTAGCCAATCACATTACCATTTACTGTACATCCTTGACCTTTGTCCAGTGGGCCAAATTATATTTGTATTACCATCTAGCAAAATAAGGTCATGGTTTCACCTCATTTGACTTATTCATTCTGATCTTTTACTTAACATACCAATGATTTACTTATTATTTTTTGAATGTGCCGAGCTTACATTGGGAAAATTATAATGAACTGTTACACCTTTAGGCGATCCTTAAAAACTCATATCTTCAGGGAAGCCTATCTCATCTCAACATAACTGCCTTTTACTTCCTCCAATAACTCAATCTACACAATTATTACCTTCTGTATCACTTGCCCCTCCTACTAGATTGTAAGTTCTCACGAGCAGGGCCCTCCCAACACTACTGTTCTGAAACTGTATTGTAACTGTACTGTCTCCACTATTTTGTAAAGAGCTGCACAAACTGTTGGTGCTGTATAGATCCTGAATAATAATAATATTATTAGGGCTACGGAAATTAACGATTCATTCTTCGATTAATCGTTAATTTTTTTGATCGATTAAAATTCTTTTAATCCGTACTCACCTCTCCGCCGGCTTCCGGGAGTCCCGTCGGAGATCCGGTGACGTCACGGACATCGACGTCACCGGACTCCTCCCCCCTTCCCCAAGTGGCTCTGTCAGCCAACGAAGGGAAGGGGGGAGGAGTCCAGTGACGTCGATGCCCGTGACGTCACCGGATCTCTGACGGGACTCCTGGAAGGCGGCGGAGAGGTGAGTAGCGATTAAAAGAATTTTAATTGTATAATCTCCAAGACTATGTGCCTCATCTTCAGGGCCCCTGAAAAGACTACTGGACGTAAAACATAGGGCAAGGCTAGACTGACAACATCAATTAAATCGGGAGGTCTGGGATAACGGCATCGCCACAAGTTCAGAATCGCCTGTTTGTGATCTTTCTTGTCATGTGCACAGTCATAGCGAGTGTGTCTCATTAGGATTTTGATAAAGAGGTTGTTTTTTATGGAAAGCACTGTGGGTTACGTGACGTCTATGTTCCCTTCTGAGCTGCACATCCTGGAGAACCAGTCCGAATCCCTGCTGTCTTATAACCCAATGGTGGCTAAATGCACTATATGACCTTATTTTACAAGGTCCACCTTACTTGCTTAGAATTTGTCCACAGAAGGTGTTACAT